AGGTAGTAGATTGGGGAAGGGGGGTTATCATTTTGTGAGGGGTATAAATGTCTAACTATTACACTGTTTTGTACACCTGAAGCTAATAAAAAAAAATTAGTAACTAGAGAAATGCTAGTGTTGGAATATTTTTTGAAGATACAAATAAGAAGTTAAAAAGTAGTTTGGTGAGGCAAAAACAATCATTAGTACTGGAAGCAAAGTATGTACCTTAATTTTTAAAACACTTTATGACCAAGTACTATTAGATAGCAAGCACTGTTTTTTTTTAATACAACAGCTGGGTAGGCAACTCAAAGGGCTGCAAACATTGCCCCCTGGCACACAGAGGTCTGGCTTATTTTAGCTTTACGCAGGACCAGCCAGCTTACCTCTGGGAAAGAAAGTCCTGCCCTGGGTACGCCGAGGTCCTGGTGTCTGCAGGGCCCTTCTTAGATGGCAGACTTCCTGGGTTAAACCTCCCGATTAGCTTTCCCTTTATCTGTTCTGAATCTCTGTCTTTTTGTTCTCTTTTCTGGGGGACTTCATTTACTTTATTTTCTAATTCTGATATTTTAAAATAGGAAGCTGTTACTATTTTATGGCTATAACACTAATTTTAATTTTTCTGAGGCTACAAATGATTGTTTATTAATTTTTCCTTGTTTCCTATATCATCTCTATTTTTTTTTTGAGTCAATTTTTCTGTTTATCTTGGTTTTTCTATTTATGTATATGGCTTTCCTGAAATGCCTGGTGACCCTTAGCTGCCCAGTCACATTTATGAAAAAAGCAATAAAAATGTTTCAGCCCGTTGCATTTATGGGGAGTCTGTCAACTAGCAGGTAGAAAGGTGGCACTCCCAAATGCTGGACAGCAAAACATTTTTATTTCTCGTCTTTTGATTCCTTTAGAGAAAGAAACGCTCTGAACTTATGCCTGAGGGATAGATGTCTGGCTTCCAAATGTCCCCTCATCGCTTACTTCTGCCCTGTGTTGGACCTGGTGCTTTGAAGTTCTGATTTTCTCCAGGGTGCTGCAAGAGAAGGCTGCTGCCTGCCCAGCTGTGTTCCCTCCGTCTGCACCCCACACTGAGGTTTCCTTCGTCCTGCCTCATTAAATACCACTCTTGCAGCTGTTTTCCATCTTCTAGAAGCTACTTACCCACTGGTGACCTGTGGCTTGTTCACTTTGTCCATGTAGGTTTCTACTGTTTTTTCTTTTTTCCTAACGCCTTTTGTCTCATCTTAATGAGGTCTCCAGGGCGAGAAGGGATAAACTTGTGTATTATCGCATTATCAATTTTGTTTTTCCAAATCTGCTTCCTACAGGTGCTAGAATGTTGCTCCAGTTGACACTACAGATCTCTTTTCAGGCCCAAGACAG